CCCAATTTTTGACCACCCTTGATTTAACAAAGGGATACTGGCAGATTCCCCTTGCCAAAGATGCAAAAGAAAAGATGGCACTCTCTACAGCAAAGGGTCTGTTTCAATATACTGTTCTTCCTTTTGGACAGCATGCGGCACCTGCCACTTTCCAGTGTCTTATGGACAAGCTCCTGCGGCCCCATACCAGTTATGCAGCTGCGTACCTGAATGATGTGATTATTCACACCCCCAACTGGGAGACCCTCTTGGAAAAGGTGGAAGTGGTACTGGACACATTAAGACTGGCCGGCCTTACAGCCAACCCAGGCAGGTGTGCTATAGGGCTTGCCAATGCTAAATACCTTGGCTACATTGTAGGAAGGGGCATGGCCAAGCCCCAAATAAACAAACCGGAGGCTAACCAAAATTGGTCCTGGCCAAATTGGAAAAAGCAAGTCCAGGCATTTCTGGTTGTGGTGGGGTACTACTGGCAATTTATTCCCCATTTCGCCACCAGAGCAAGTCCCCTGACAGAGATGATAAAAGCCTGGGGTCCAGACATGGTGAAGTGGACAGATGCTGCAGAGAAAGCATTCATGGATCTACAGACAGCCCTCTGCAGTAACCCCGTGCTTACAGCCCCACACTTCAACAAAGAGTTCATTTTACAAACAGATGCATCTGAAGTAGGACTGGGAGCTGTCCTGTCACAGATGGTCACAGACAAAGAACACCTGATCCTCTACCTCAGCAGGAAACTCCTCCCGAGAGAGCAGAAGCATGCAGTGGTTGAGACAAAGTGCCTTGCTGTGAAATGGGCCATGGAAACACTATGTTATTACCTGCTGGGACGACGGTTTACCCTTGTGACCAACTATGCATCCCTCCAGTGGATGCAATGAAATAAAAAGAAGAACACAAGGGTGACCAGATGGTTCCTGTCCCCAACAACCTTTTCAATTCACCAGACAACACCGGGCTGGAAGCCACATGGCAATGCAAATGGCTTGTCACGGGTACACTGCCTGACATCCCAAGTTGCCCAACCCCGCGGTGTTGAACGGGGGGAGGGGGGGGAATATGTGACAGGGTCAGTCCAGATGGCTACAGGAGAGTAACAGAAGGCAGACATATTAGCCCCAGATTAAGCAGGTCCCTTTTCCCAGGGTAAGCTAACAGGGGCAGTTCCAGAACAATCAGGAACTTGCTGGAACCAATTACGGCAGACAGGCTAATTAGGACACCTGGAGCCAATTAAGAAGCTGCTAGAATCCCTTAAGACAGGCAGGCTAATCAGGGCACCTGGTTTAAAAAAAGACCTCACTTCAGTCAGTGAGGGGCACGTAAGGAGCTGAGAGTGAGAGGGAGTGCTGCTGGAGGACTGAGGAGTACAAACACTATCTAGCATCAGGAAGAAGGTCCTATGGTGAGGATAAAGAAGGTGTTGGGAGGAGGCCCAGGGAGTTGTAGCTGTTACACCGGTGTTATACAAAATACTGTAGACAGCTGTGATCCACAGGGCTCTGGGATGGAACCCAGAGTTGAGGGCGGGCTCAGGTTCACCCCATTCCCCCAACTCCCTGTTGGATACAGGAGGAGTTGACCTGGACTGTGGGTTCCACTAGAGGGTATGGTCCCTGGCCTCTCCCCCGACCCACTAGGTGGATCAGCAGAGGCTGCAGGGATTGTTCTCCTTCCTTTTCCCCACGCTGGCCAGTGATGAGGTTAGCTGAGTGAACGGCAGGTTTGAGCCACTAGCAAAAGTGGCCAAACTGAGGGCTCCTGTGAATCTCTGAGGCGAGCAAAGCCACCAATAAGCGCAGGACCCACCAAGGCAGAGAAGGAACTTTGTCACAGGCAGGTATAAATTGATAGTGTAGTCCAAGCCTCCGTATCAAGGGTCTCCACAATTCAGGACAGGAGGTCCAGGAAGGCTTTAGAATCATCTATAGCAAGGGTTCTCACACTGGTGGTCGGGACCCCTCAGGGGGTCATGAGGTTATTACATAGGGGGTCGCGAGCTGTCAGCCTCCATCCCACCCCCGCTTTGCCTCTAGCATTTATAATGGTGTTAAATATATTAAAAAGTGTTTTTAATTTATAAATGGTGGGGGGGTTGCACTCAGAAGCTTGCTATGTGAAAGGAGTCACCAGTACAGAAGTTTGAGAATCACTGATCTGTAGCCAGGGTGCGTGCTAGTGTCTCTGCCTTGTCTGGTGGTGAGAAGGATTCCTTGGGGGATGTCGGGGCTCACTGTTGTCTCTCTAACATCTCCTGTTCCTGTGGGCCCACCTCTCATTCCTCTGTGGATGGGCTAGTCAGCGAAGCCATCAGGAAGCATGATCTATATTCCTTTTTCTACATTGTAGAAGACGCTAAACTGCTCCTTCACATGTCAATACAGCCAAACAAGGTGGCATATTTATGGGTATTGACCATGTTGGGGCTGGTTGGCCCATGGCACTCCAGAGCCGGTTGAGGTGGTGCTCTAAATGTGGGCTCCCCAATATCCTCCTTGAAGTCATTCTCCAATGGCACGGAAGAGAGATTTCTGTTCAATGTCAGCAAGAAGGGATACATTGGCAAGAGTGAGGAGGAATATATCGCCTCACTGAAGGACAGTACTGAGGGACTGAATGGGGCCAACTGATGTACTTCCTTGGCTTCATCACTGGCATTGGTACTGGGATCGTGGCAGGTATCTTGTTTTGCCCAACCGTTTAAGGGTTTTTTCCTTGGAGAAACATCCCATGTCTTCCATATGGGAGTTCCCTTCGGTCTTGGAGCTAGGTTTATGCTCGGACAGGCTACATCAGTGGGCGTCCAGTTTATAAGTGGATGCAATGCCAGCTTTACTCGGTGAGTTGGAGCAGCCAGTAAGGAAGACAAAGTTCTCAGCACCCGATTTACCAATGCCAAGTCTGTCAATGCCAAGATGCATAGTGCCAAGCTCTTAAGAGGCGGTTGACATCATTAGTGTCAACTCTGCCAGTGTCCTCTTTGCCTTCTTTCCACTGCCTGATCCTGGAGTTTGAAGAGTATTCAAGGGATCACTGGTCGACGCTAATTTAACCAGCCTCACTCTGGTCATAATTGTCACATCTGGGGCCAAAGTGATCTGTATGGACTGCTCAAGTACATGTAGCTTGAACCATGCATTCCTAGACTTGGAGGTCCTGGTGGAGAAGTTCTTGCACACAAAGGAATTATTCAGGATGTGACACTCTCCTAAGCAAGAGAGGCATTGGCTTGTCTGTCCATGATAGGGATTAGTTCATTGCAGGATGGGCAGGGTTTGAACTCTGTCACAAGACATGGGAGCTGGCAAGAAGCATTTTACCCTGTTGCACATGGGGTGGGGAGATGTCACCAATCAATATCCTTTAGAGAACAAATTTGATTGTAAGAATTCTTCACTAAGCACCTTGAAAGATCTGGCTTAAAGTGTCTGAAGCGAGTTGCAGGTCAGAGATTTGCCAAATTCCTTTTCACTCCTAAGGCAGTAGGGGGAACTGAGGGGGGTTGTGGCTGCTCTGCCCTTTACACCACTGTATGGGAGCTATTCAAAATATCTGATCTTCTGCACATGAGGCTTGTGCACACCTACCGTGGGACTACACTGACACATACTTGAAGAGCTAACAACAGAGAAAAAGAAATGAGCTTAAGAAACCAGACAAACTTTAGTAGAGATAAGTTCCTGTGACAAATGTGTGAATTTTCTGTAATATTTCTGTGAACTATATGCATCTCCTCACTGCACAGGAGGCAGAAGGGTTAACATGCTTCTCCTGGAACAGAGCAGGAGGCATGAGAGGCTTGGGTCATGTGGCTGTCTGGGGTGGTAAGAATGTGCCATCAAGAGCTGGCTGGAATTAGCACAAAGCAATGAAGGGTCCAGAAAAAAAAATGGGAACCTCAATGACCAAACATGAATCCTTGACAGTAGGATAGAGCTCAGAGGCAGCAGAGCAGGATGAAGCCCCGGCTCCACCAACATGGACTCTATCATAAGTCTGTCACTCTCATACTAACCCAAAGACTTTCTGTGCTCCAGGTGACTAATAAAGGTTACCTTGCCGGAGAAAGGCTGCCTGGTGTTGCTGCAGTTACTTAAGAGCACTGCACTCTGGAAGGGGAAATATCTCTTGCAGGAGTCTGCCTCAGCTGGACTCCCTGAAGGGAGCCACAGGGAAAGAGAGGTGGAGTCATGGACACCATGGTCCTGCCCCTGGAAAACCCTGGGGATCCAAGGGGTCCAGCACAGTAAAGGGGACTCCCAGTAGACTGGTTAAAGGCTAAGACACAGATCAGACTCTGGGAATCCATGACAACCACCTAAGAACTGTAAAGGGATTTCAGGTAAAGAGATGTTTTTAGGGCAGTAGCTGTTCCAGCTGCTGCATTAGGGCATGTCTACACTACAAAATTAAATCGATGTATAGCCACCATAGTAATTAAAATGGTGGTTCATGTCCACCTTCTGTCGGCGGAGCGCATTCTCACCAGGAGTGCTTCCACTGACTTAACTGTGTGGGGCACTGGAGGGCACTGACACCTGGAGCTCCCCACATCCCCCACCCCAGGGCTGACAGCCAACAGACGATGTACGTAACTCAGTGTCCACACCGGCACTGCATCACCCTAACTACATCAACCTACACCTCTCGCAGAGGTGAAGTTATTAGGTCACTGTAGTGGGTGACTTACATTGGTGGGAGCTACATTTTAGTGTAGACACTTACAGAGCTAGGTCAACGTATGCAGCCCTAGGTCAACCAAACTCTGTAATGTTAAAGACATAGGAAGCGGGAGGAAGGGAGTCTAGTTTAATGCTGATGCTGACCCCCAGGTGGAATTTTAAGTTGCTACCAATTTCAAAGTCAACTTCAAAGCCTTAAAACCCACAAAACAACAATAATATGTTTTGTCCATGAGTCAATGTCTACAGTGACTATACTGAGCTTTAATTCTTTAATTTTTATCAGTAACCTTGTTAGTGAAATTCAGTGTTTACCTTTAGTTGATCCAGTTGAAGCTTGTTAGCATTTTCACACACAATGAGCACATTCTGTAGATCTACAGATGCTTCAATATACTGGAGGCAGAGCTGTTCCAGTCGCGAGAGCTTGAAATTCAGGGCTAGTTTGTACACGTCCATGATAAGTAGTACATCCTGCACATGACCTGTACATCACAAAGGGAAACAGTGTCATTCCACAGCTCTAGAGAGCTTTCTAATATAAGGTTCTTCAAAGATGTCCAGTGGGGTCAGAAATTTTCCCAATTTCTGATGCCATCTTGAGTAATTCGGATAGCAGAACCAAGGGAGATTAGCATTATGATCATCTAGTCTGATCTCCTGTTTAACACAGGTCACAGAGCTTCCCCAGAATAGCTCCTAAAGGAGATTTTTAGAAAAACATCCAATCTTGACTTTAAAATGGTCAGTGATTAATGGTTAATTACTCTCACTGTTAAAAATGTATGCCTTATTCCAGTCTGAATTTGTCTAGCTTCAACTTCCAGCCATTGCACTGTGTTATACCTTTCTCTGGTAGACTGAAGAGCCCATTATTAAATATTTTTTTCCCTATGTAAGTCTTATAGACTGTAATCAAGGCACTTCTTAACCTTCTCTTTGTTAAGATAAACAGAATGAGCTCCTTGAGTCTATGACTACAAATCATGTTTTCAAATCTTTTAATAATTCTTGTGGCTCTTCTCTGAACCCTCTCTGATTTTTGAGCATCCTTCTTGAGCTGTGGACAACAGAACTGGACTCAGAATTCCAGCAGTGGTTGCATCAGTGATAAGTATAAAGATTTGCTCACAAATTGCTAATATTCAATTTTCATTTTCTTTTTAAAAGACCCTATGGGCCAGGTTTGGCTTGCACACAGTCCTCCTCCTGCTGTCCTACCTTTGCGTGGGTATTTTATTTTATCCGTGTACAGGAACTGCATGAGCACCTCAAAGGGCTGAGCTTCAGCTTCTCGGATTGTCACTTCCAGCAGAGGTTGCAGGCAGCACAGCTTGACATTGCCACAAATCCCCTCGTTCTGGGACAGTGCTTGTCCCTCTTCTTCAATCTCTTGCTTTGATTTCTAATGGGATAGAAAAACAGAAAACAAAGAAGCAAAGGTCTGGGTGTGTCCAAGGGCTGGTTTGCCAGGAACAAACTGTTTGTGGGTGTGCATTTGTGAGACTGTGATGTATGTAGCTACATGGCTTTGCACTGTACTTCCTGGCGATGTGCTGTGGAGTTGGGTCCCTTCATGCCCTGAACTGGCTTTGTGACATTTATCTTTGAATTTCCCTGCATTTCAAAATAAAGAGAGCCTCAACCACGGAGCTCAGTAATGAAGTGTCCCATCTTCCCCCTGAAGAGGTGCATCAGATGCTGGAAAATCTCCTCTGCGCTCTATGCACAACTGCATGTACACTCGGCAAAGTGGCTGCAAGGCCCCCAGTAAACTTCTCTGGTGCAGCAGGCCCCCATGACAGACACCGCAACAGCAACACAGGTTTGGATCCTCTGGCACAGGAGGCATCTCGGGCAGATCAGAGGCAGGGGAAGGCCTGGTTGAGACAGTCCTGCACCCTGATGCTTCCCAGGTACCACAATGTCCATGAGGGCTAAGGCAGCAAGGGGTGCAAGTTAGTGCAGCCCTGGGATTGCTTTATCCTGTTTTCTTGGACGATCTGTCCCTTATCAATCTCAGCATAGCAGAGGTACAAAGCCTACCCTCTCAACCCGGTGCTGACCTGGGAACCCAAAGGACCCCAAATCCAGATATTCTCAGACTGATCATTTCACTTCCCTGCAAAAGCACTGGTCACACCAGAAGTGAGCTCCTGGCATCTCCTTCACCGGAGGTATCCAAAAGGGCCCTGGATAGTCATCTGTCTTGGATGGTTTAGACAGAACAAATCCTGCATCTTGGCAAGGGGTTGGCCTAGATGACCCTTGTGTTCCTTTCTAATCCTATTGTTTTATGATCTATGAAGCTCCCTGTGACAGGGCATACCTACCTTGCACCAGCCCTGTCATAAATATAAAGAAAAGGGTAGCATAAGATCCCTCCTTGGTAGCTGTACTGAATCGCTTTATCTGTAAGGGGTTAAGTAGCTCAAATCACCTAGTTGGAACCTGACCAGAATGACGAATGAGGAAAGAAGATACTTTCAAATTGGGGGGGGGGGTGAAGAGAATTTGTTTGTGGCTCTCTTTGTTTGTTCCCTCTCTGGATGGAGGGAGAGATCAAGCAGGTTCAACATCTCCTGAAAACATACCTGGAATGATCCATCTAAAATTACAGAATTTGTAAGTAAGGCAAGAAAATGCATTAGGTTATCTTTTGTTTTGGCTTGTGAATTTTCCTATGCTACAAAGGTAGTTTTATTCCTGTTTTTGTAACTGTGAAGCTGAGGCCAGAGGGGAGTCCTCTGTGTTTTAAATCCTTTTTATTACCCGGTAAAGTTACCTTCCATCCTGATTTTGCAGGTGTGATTCTTTTACTTCTTTCTTTATTATAAAGTTCTTCTTTTAAGAACCTAATTGATTTTAGTGTCCTAAAGATAAAGGGTCTGGTCTGTGCTTACATTGCTAAGGTAATTAGTTGGTATATTATTCTCAAGCCTCCCCAGGAAAGGGGGTGAAGGGGCTTGGGGGGATAGGGATTCCAAGTGACCCCTGAATTTTTGTGTAAATCACTTGGTGGTGGCAGCAATACCGTCCAAGGACAAGGAAAGGAATTTGTGCCTTGGGGAAGTTTTTAACCTAAGCTGGTAGAATATAACTTAGGGGGTCTCTCATGTGGGTCCCCATATCTGTACCCCAGAGTTCAGAGTGTGTGTGGGGGAACCCTGACAAGCCCCGAGAGGGTTAACTCTGCTTTGCAGGCTGAGGAAGCAACGTCCCTCCCACACTGATGGGCATGCCCAGCCTGGAGGCAGCATAGAATCATAGAATATCAGGGTTGGAAGGGATCTCAGGAGGTCAACTAGTCCAACCCCTTGCTCAAAGCAGGACCAATCCCCAACTAAAGCATGTAAAAGAAAGCAGCCCAGCTCAGTCTGGGCAGGCTGCTGTAGGGGAAGGACGCAAGCTGCGAGCTCTCTCCAGGAAGTTGCTACAGGCCCCAGTGGCGGGACCACAGCTTGCAGAGTTCCAGACAGACTCCAGGCTGCCCAACAAGCCCCAAGAAGGGACCGCACCACTGGGAGCCGGCCATTTGAGGACCGCAGAGACCCAGAGATACCGGGGAGCTTCGACAAGGGGGAAACTAGGTTTGCTGGGAGATGGAGACCGAAGCTCTGAGGTAAGTGGGAAAGTGGGATACCAAGAGGAAACACAAGGAGGAGGGTACAAGACGGGAAGCCTCCTGATTCATACTGAGAAAGCAGGGCAATCACCTAGTTTTCTTAGGTGCCTGTACACGAACGCAAGAAGCCTGGGAAACAAGCAGGAAGAATTGGAAGTCCTGGCACAGTCAAGGAACTATGATGTGATTGGAATTACAGAGACTTCATGGGATAACTCACATGACTGGAGCACTGTCATGGATGGGTATAAACTGTTCAGGAAGGACAGATGGGGGAGAAAAGGTGGAGGAGTTGCACTGTATGTAAGAGAACAGTATATGATTGCTCAGAGCTCCAGTATGAAACTGCAGAAAAGCCTGTTGAGAGTCTTTCGGTCAAGTTTAGAGGCGCTATACTTACCTACATGCCTCCAGCTTTCATCCAGACCACGCCACACAATCCATTGTCTACAGCCAAGCTCTACGATACAACCGCATTTGCTCCAACCCCTCAGACAGAGACAAACACCTACAAGATCTCTATCAAGCATTCTTACAACTACAGTACCCACCTGCTGAAGTGAAGAAACAGATTGACAGAGCCAGAAGAGTACCCAGAAGTTACCTACTACAGGACAGGCCCAACAAAGAAAATAACAGAATGCCACCAGCCATCACCTTCAGCCCCTAACTAAATCCTCTCCAACGCATCATCAAGGATCTACAACCTATCCTGAAGGAAAGCCCATCACTCTCACAGATCTTGGGAGACAGGCCAGTCCTTGCCTACAGACAGCCCCCCAACCTGAAGCAAATACTCACCAGCAACCACACACCACACAACAAAAACACAAGCCCAGAAACCTATCCTTGCTACAAAGCCCATTGCCAACTGTGTCCACATATCTATTCAGGGGACACCATCACAGGGCCTAATCACATCAGCCACACTATCAGAGACTCGTTCACCTGCACATCTACCAATGTGATATATGCCATCATGTGCCAGCAATGTCCCTCTGCCATGTACATTGGCCAAACTGGACAGTCTCTACGTAAAAGAATAAATGGACACAAATCAGACATCAGGAATTATAACATTCAAAAACCAGTTGGAGAACACTTCAATCGCTCTGTTCACTCTATTACAGACCTAAAAGTGGCAACTCTTCAACAAAAAAAACCTTCAAAAACAGACTCCAACGAGAGACTGCTGAATTGGAATTAATTTGCAAACTGGATACAATTAACTTAGGCTTGAATAAAGACTGGGAATGGATGTGTCATTAAACAAAGTAAAACTATCTCCCCATGTTTATTTTCCTCCCCCCAAAGTTCCTCACACGTTCTTGTCAACTGCTGGAAATGGCCCACCTTGATTATCACTACAAAAAGGTTTTTTTTTGTCTCCTGATGGTAATAGCTCACCTTACCTGATCACTCTTGTTACAGTGTATATGGTAACACCCATTGTTTCATATCCTCTGTGTACATAAAATCTCTCCACTGTATTTTCCACTGCATGCATCCGATGAAGTGAGCTGTACCTCACAAAAGCTTATGCTCAAATAAATTTGTTAGTCTCTAAGGTGCCACAAGTACTCCTTTTCTTTTTGTGGATACAGACTAACATGGCTGCTACTCTAAAGGGTGATGATGTGGTAGGAATGTGCTAGACCACCAGACCAGAAGGATGAGGTAGACAAGGCTTTCTTGGAACAACTAACAGAAGTTTCCAGATCACAGGTCCTGGTTCTCATGGGGGACTTCAATCACCTGGACATCTGCTGGGAGAGCAATGGAGCAGTGCACAGACAATCCAGGAAGTTTTTGGAGAGACTTGGGGGAAAACTTCCTGGTGCAAGTGCTGGAGGAACCAACTAGGGGCCATGCTCCTCTTGACCTGGTGCTCACAAACAGGGAAGAATTGGTAGGGGAAGTAGAAGTGGGTGGCAACCTGGGCAGCAGTGATCATGAGGTGGTCAAGTTCAGGATCCTGACGAAAGGAAGAAAGGAGAGTAGCAGAATACGGACCCTGGACTTCAGAAAAGCAGACTTTGACTCCCTCAAGGAACTGAAGGGAAGGATACCCTGGGATGCTAATATGAAGGGGATAGGAATCCAGGAGAGCTGGCTGTATTTTAAAGAAGCCTTATTGAGGGCACAGAAACAAACCATCCTGATGTGCAGAAAGAATAGCAAACATGGCAGGTGACCAGCTTGGGTTAACAGAGAAATCTTTGGTGAGCTTAAACACAAAAAGGAATCTTAGAAGAAGTGGAAACTTGGACAGATGACTAGGGAGGAGTATAAAAATATTGCTCGAACCTACAGGGGTGCAATCAGGAAGGTCAAAGCACAATTGGAGTTGCAGCTAGCAAGGGATGTGAGGGGTAACAAGAATGGTTTCTACAGGTATCATAGTAGCAGCCGTGTTAGTCTGTATTTGCAAAAAGAAAAAGAGTACTTGTGGCACCTTAGAGACTAATCAATTTGAGAATAAGCTTTCGTGAGCTACATAAAAGCATCCGATGAAGTGAGCTGTAGCTCACGAAAGCTTATGCTCAAATAAATTGGTTAGTCTCTAAGGTGCCACAAGTACTCCTTTTCTTTCTACAGGTATGTTAGCAACAAAAAGGTGGCCAGGGAAAGTGTGCGATCCTTACTGAATGGGGGAGGCAACCTAATGACAGACGATGTGGAAAAAGATAATGTACTCAATGCTTTTTTTTGCCTCGGTCTTCATAGACAAGGTCAGCTCCCAGACTGCTGCACTGGGCAATACAGTATGGGGAGGAGGT